GGCATTCCATCAGAACAGACATCCTCCCTAAGAGACACAGGTCACACACACAGCCGAGACACGCTCTGCACAGAGACCACAACAGCTTTTAATTATCTTACTTTCTCCCACACACTTATTTCAACAAGTACACACAGTCTTTCACACAAGTGCCCTCATGATTGTGTCCTCACACACAATACAGACAATAACCCGCACCAGACTGCTTCCGGAAGTAAAAATCCCATTTAAAGTCTCCACAAAGAAATTGATTTAACGTAAAAACTTTTCAAGACAGAGAGATTGTTAGACAATTTTATGCTTCTGCTCATATGCTTATATAGACTTAAGGGCAGTTTAAAACTCGGGTCACTCACTTCCCTGCTGAAAAAAAAACAGCTAAAACCAGCCTAAGCTGGAAGTAGCTGGTTTTAGCTGGTCTCCCAGCCTGGCTAGGCTGGTTTTAGCTGGTTGTTCCTGCTGGTCTCCCAGCCTGACCAGCTAAAGAAGTTGTCAAAACCCCTCTAAAACCAGCCTACTGACCAGCTATGACCAGTTATGACCAGGCTGGATGACCAGCTATAACCAGCTAACCAGATTAGGCTGGTTTTAGTTGTTTTTAAGCAGGGTTTAAATTCATTTTATACTGAATTTGTCTTTATAAAAGTTCAGTAATGTTATAGTTTGTGACCTGTGAAAACTTCCAGTTGATTATTTTATGTGGGAGACTGACAAATGTTTTGGTTGTAAATATAGACAATATATAGACAGTAAATATAGAAATGTATAATTTGCAAATGGCATTCCTGTGATAACTCAGCAATTAAATTATTATTTATTTATTTTTTTGCTGTGTGATTATGAATAGATAATTTAATTTTGCATTTTACACACCTCTCTGCATTCGCTTGCTAAACAGGATTTATTTTGGTAAGACATTTGACTTGTCCATTTGTTTAAAGAGGTCATGAACTGCCTTTTTAATTATTTTCTACTGTTCTCTGAGGTCCACTTATAATGTTATACATTTTTTACATTAAAAAAAAACATCATCATGGAGTTTATCCACACTATTATGTCGTAAAGTGGCACATTCCACAAGCTGTCGTTTTGGCAGATTGGCTTCAATATAAGCTGTTTTTAGACTAACGAGAAAGATTTGAGTTCTGAAACTTACATTATGTTTTTATAGTACAATGACCTCTTATATGTCAATAGACCAAGGGAATTTAGATTTCTCAGTTCATGACCCCTTTAAAAGATGAAGGCTTAATCCTAACATACTGTACATACTTTCCTACTATGTAGTAGGCAAAAAAAAAAAAAACAGTTGGCCTGTGTGGAAAGAGTAGCATGTAGAATTCATAAAACAATAGGCAAAAAGTACCCAGATAAGCTGCTACTTCTGGCAAAATTCTGAAGTGCACATCCAGTAGACACTTTACTATCCCATAAGGCCATGGAAGAGGATTTATGAATGACACAAAGCCACACAACTGATGCTGGTTGGTCACATGTCAGTGACAACATAATGAATGTAGTACAGGGCTACAGGTGGATTACATTTCTACACAAATTCATAAAATACAGAACATACTTTTTAATGTTCATGAATAATTACTCAAAATAAATATCAATGTTTGCATGATTCATACACTCTCATATTGTTAAAAAGGGGTTTGTAACTTTTTCTTTTTTCAAATTTTAAAATTCTTTGGATGAAACAATGAATCTTGATGGTGGTTGATTCGGTTCAAGGCTTTTTAAATGTTCAAAATAAATGGGAAATTACTGAGAAAATACTTCCAGCACCAGGCTGCTATATATACATTCTATACTGTCAGCCTCACAATCCGCTTCTGCTAATGCTGTTTTTGTAGACGTTTCTGTAGAACTCTAAAGGTCGGGTGAATTGTCCTGAAGATACGTGTGATTAGTATCCCTCGGTTCATTTAGACAAAGAATACAGTCCCCAAAGCAAATTTTTTCCTCAAACTCTCTCTCTCTATTTCCCACTTTCTCTGCCGAGCTGGATTTGAGATGTGAATGAACTTCACCCAACATCTCTTTCCTTTTTAACTCGTTATTGTGCTTGGCGTGGCCTTTGACCCGGGCACTGTGTGGAATGCGTGTGAGGGGTTTAGAGCGGCGAGGAGGTGGTGCGGGTCAGGGAATAGGGGTTGCTTTTTGTTATTTCTCCTCACAAAACAAAACCTGGCGGCCCTCAGACAAAAAGATACAGGGAAGGCTGTGCGCAGAACCAGTGAACCATGGCCGTGTGTGTGTGTGTGTGTGTGACAGTGAGAGAGAACTTTGTTTTTGAAAGGGGGAGTTTCTGGCAGAAAGAGCAGGGATTTATGAAGGTAATAGTTGTGCATGTTTAGATTTGGAGAAGTCTAGAGAGGCTTTTGGAGGTGAAGAAACTGTTAATGAGCAATGAACTTGCATAACTCTCTCCTCACACACATAAAAACACCGACTTGGACTTTCTTAGTGTCTCATGCCCTGTGTTTTCTGAAGCCTGAGTAGTAACATAAATTTAGGATTATGAAATTTCACTGAAGGCAGCTGAAGTTGAAGAGTGGATTAGGTTTTAAACATTTAAACCTAAGATCTGGTTAAAAGGTTAGTTCACCTAAAAGTGAAAATCATCACTAATCATCATTCCAAGCCCATATGACTTTCTTTCTTGGAACACAAAGGTGTGTTAGGCTGAATGTTTATGCTCTTTTCCATCCAATAACAGTCAAAGGGATGCTGTCAAGCTTTAAATTTGACAAAAGTACCAATTTTATCGTAAAATCACAAGGATGCTGTAACGAATCAGTCCACTGAAGGCGAGCGTAGTGAAGACAAAATCCCAAACCCCACATTACATATCCCACCCTCCAAGGGCGGCTCCAGACGCCCAAACAAACACAAACAAAACCCAACAAGTCCAGGAGGGTGGTAGAGCGAAGGCGGAACAGGGGGAGGGATGGAGGGCCAGGCCCAATAAGCGGAGCAGGCAGAGCGGGGGGCAATGGCGGAGCAGGCAGAAGAGGGAGCCATGGCGGAGCAGGCAGAGCAGGGCGGCCGGGTGGTGACGGCAGAGCAGGAAGCCATGGCGGAGCAGAGACATGGACAGACCACTTGACTGAGACAGAACAAGCAGAGAGTTCTTGAATGGCCTCCTTGGCCGTGAAAGGACAGACAGTGAGGTCATGAACGGCCTCCATGGCCGTGACAGGGCAGATTATGAGCTCATGAACGGCCTCCTTGGCCGTGACACGACAGACAGTGAGTTCATGAACGGCCTCTATGGCCTTAACAGGACAAGCAATTAATTCATGGACGGCCTCCATGGCCGTAACAGGACAGACAGTGAGTTCATGAGCGGCCTCCATGGTCATGGCAGGACAGACAGTGAGTTCATGAACGGCCTCCAT